TGTCAGTCTTTTGCATGCATAAGGCAGCGGATGATACCACATTGATATGATTTACTCACAGCTAAATACTACTTCTTGCAGCCTGCAGGTACAACTCTGAAAGAGCTTTGACATTTATAGAACCCATATGGGATAGCTGCGTGACGAAGTGAAACTCCATCTTATCCCAGAAGAACATTAGTAACTAAACTGATAGCGCCAAACAGGAGCTCAGCGAGTTGCCTTATGGATTCAAGATACTAGACATCAGAACGCAGTGCCTCGCATCTATATCGCCAGTTAAAACATGGTGCAAGTCAGACATGCTTGACTCCCATTACAGTGCCACAGCTGTTGCTCTAAAATGAGCTCGTGGTCTCAGTCCAGTTCTTAGCTGCGGGGTATCCATGTCAAACAAAAAGGACATCAGCATAACTAGTTCTTAGCAAAGAAACCAAATTACCTAGAAATTCTCCTATTTCTAGTAGCTGCTTCCCATGAAACACTACCCTTTAAGAAGAGTTCGATGCCTTAGTTGTATTTTTTGCTGTCACTGAAAGCCAGATTTATCCAGATTTCTCCAATCATCAGTATAGCTAAAAGGTCTCAGAATTGCAGAGCGTTACAAAATGTTCTCCTTCTATGATTCTTACAATTGTTCCAATTCCTTTCTTGCAATGGTTACAACCCTCTTTAACCATCTTCTGGAAGAAAAACATTCTAACATAACTGCAAAGTTCAGAAGCGGCAATTAGAAATTCTAAAAAAAGGCCAGAGCTGTTGCTGCAATCCTTTTTGTGAGGAAAATCGTCACACTGAAGGAAAAGCACAACCACCACATTCACAAACGTGCAGCACCAATTACATTGTCACAGACATCGCTGTGCTGTAGGACAACGGTTTCCATTGTATGCAGAGTTTCCATGCACGTCAGGAAAATAAACACGAATTGCTGTCTTCCTTATACCCACGTTGGCTCCCTGCATTGGGAGCAGCAGAAGAAATTTAGGATTGTCTCAATTTCAAAGACTGTAACTCGTTAAGAGATCTAATATCTAGTGCTTCCTAATTCATATATTAAGAACATATATTTATGTATATAAAATACACAACTGGAACTGGAAATAGGAAGATTTTAGTAACTGTACCAAGCAGCATTCTGTGAACACGTATCCCGCTTCACAAGTAGTTAGCTGAAGCACTTTCAGCCTCCTAAGCAAAACTCCATTAAGCACAATATATTTAGAATTAGAATGCCGTAAATTAGCGAGAAAGTCTAATGGCGGTGCTTAAAAATATTCTGTATCAGTCTAAGGTGTCAGTTTTATTTCAGGCATCGGTATGGACTACTTCATACCAGCAAATAAACTTACCTGTAAAATATATTATAGGTTTTAGTTAACAATTACACATCTTTAAAAAGTTGGTATTTGGACTTAAAAAAAAAAGCCAAGCTTATTTTTACAAGCAAGAGTAGTTATTAGTATCTCCTCAAAACGTCTGAAATGTCCCCCTCCCTCCAAAAATTGCTTCAGTGGCACAGATCTTCCAAACATGTCTCAATTCTTGGTAAGTAAGGAGGGAGGTCAGCAGAGCTGCTACCTTGGACTTCAGAGGGCAGACATTGGTCTGTGTGGGCACTGGTTGACACGGTCCCTTGGGAGGCAGTCCTGAAGGGCAAAGGATTCCAGGAAGGCTGGACAATATTCAGGAAGGAAATCTTAAAAGTGCAGAAGCAGGCCGTCCCCATGTGCCAAAAGATGAGCCCACAGAGAAGACCAGCCTGGCTGAACAGAGAGATTTGGCTGAAACTCAGGGGAAAAAAAGAGAGTTTATGACCTTTGGAAGAAGGGGCAATCAACTAAGAATTCCAAAGATGTTATGAGGTTATGCAGAGAGTTTCCCTGTACTCAGCTCTGGTGAGGCCGTACCTTGAATACTGCATTTAGTCTTGGGCCCTCACTACAATAAAGACATTGAGGTGCTGGAGTGTGTCCAAAGAAGAGCAATGAAGCTGGTGAAGGGTCTGGAGCACAAGTCTTATGAGGAGTGGCTGAGGGAACTGTGGTTGTTTAGCCTTGAGAAAAGGAGGCTGAGGGGAGATCTTATCGCCCTCTACAACTACCTGAAAGGAGGTTGTAGCAGGGCGGATGTTGGTCTCTTCTACCAAGTAACAAGAGATAGGGCAAGAGGAAATGGCCTCAAGTTGCACCAGAGGAGGTTTAGATTGGATATTAGGAGAAATTTCTTCACTGAAAGGGTTAAAAAGCACCAGAACAGGCTGCCCCGGGAAGTGGTTAAGTCACCACCCCTGGAGTATTTAAAAGATGTGTAGATGTGGTGCTTAGGGACACGGTTTAGCAGTGGACTTGACAGTATTAAGTTTGCAGTTGGAGTTGATGATCTTAAAGGTCTTTTCCAATCTAATGATTCTATGATTTTATGTTACTGTTCCACAATTTGCAGAAGTCTGGAAAGCGTATTGGGGGAAAAAAGGGAAACCAGAATGTCTGGTCTTTTTTTTCTAGAGGTATTTTTCAGCTTAATTCAATTAAGATTACTTGGATTGTTCAAGGTTCATATATGGATATACTAACTTTCAAAAGCTACACAGGTTATACATCTCTCCCTGACTATATTGACCAGGCATCATCACTCGGAGATTATACTGAAGCCCACAGAGGAACCATGGATTCAATATTTTCTCCAGCAAGAGAGACAGAAAATCAAAACCTCTACACTTCAGCTTGACTCTTTTTGTTGCATTTGGAAGTAGGCCAAACTCCTGGTTTTAATCATGGAAAGATGTGTTCCTATAAGCTCTGCTTTACCTTTATCACAGTATTTCAACTTTGTTTTTGATTTCCCACCCCACAATTCAGTTCAGTTCACCCTAGAAGATAAAAGCACCAAACACAGATGGATATTGTCACTAGCTATGGGAAGTTTTCCTTCAGTCACTGAAATATTCCTATTACTATCCTAAACCCTTACAGCAGAGGCCACCTGCCGTTACCTATAAAGAGCAGCGGACATTTACAGAAAATACCAGCCTTTCTTTAGCTGAAAGTGGGATTCCTGTCATAGCAATGCTTCAGCTTTGCTGTTTATTTGACAACGCTCCGTAGAAATTTTTCATTGGGTGACCAAGAAGCCTCCAACCGACATCCAAGACGAACCACTCTCTAGTTGTGGATTCTGACATCTTCCTAATGCTCTTAATTTCTGGGTGGTCTGTCTTCTGCTCTGCACTTGTTTTCCTGGTTCTCTCTGCACCTCATGCTTTGGCGGAGGATCATACAAGATCTAGTTCGTAGCCTGTGACCAAAGAAACATAAGGGATCATTTAACCTTGTTTGTTGCAGAGTCATTATCTTAGTCTTACTCCCTCAAAATTATCTTCTACCTTGCAATTAAAAGTCTGCTTTATTTGTTCCAAGTTACATCACCTGATCTAGGTGGTCCTGCTCCAGCAGGCGGATTGTACTAGATGATCCTTTGAGGTCCCTTCCAATCCCTAACACTCTGTGATTCTGTGTGTCATTATAATCAAATGCATTTCATAGACCACAGGCATCAGCTATGCCACTAAAGCCACTAAGAGCACGCTCCTTTAGAACCAGCTGCAAACTTGGAAGCTGAACTGCAGTGGGACAAGTCCTGAGCTGGAAGATCTCTTTTATACTCAGTGAAGTGACCTTCTGGTTTTACTTCCATCTCAGAGGCATTAAAAAGTCGACTTACGTATCCAGTTATTTACTTACATAATATCAATGCTCCCCCTTGAAGCTAAGCACATATCTCACCAAAATCAGAGTGACCAAAAGATGATCGCTTGGAAGAGACTGGAAACTTTGCAGTTATGAGCCTCATAAAACGGCTCTTAAGTTTAAAGTTAAGCAACTTTAAAGTTAAGCAACTTTAAATCTTAATGATAAACACGTAAGATGAGCAAATGAAGAAGTCACATTGCCTGTAAGAATGAGGGAGTGGAAGTGGCATATCCTGAGGGCAGATGATTAACAGCTAGCTCAGAAATCCGATTAAGTATGAGAACAGTAATACTTACTTCACAATTACGGGAATAAACAACATTTCTCACTGACAATTGTGAGACGTTTTATACAAATGAACACAGTGCTTCAAACACACACAGCTTGCAAGAAGATGTTTATGGAGATTTAGAGAGATCTTTCCTTCCCCCAGAATGCAATACACTACTTCAATGAAATGTGATAGTAACATTCAATCTTTTAAAATAAAGACAAAGTAAGTTGGAGCCTCACCTCTCACACAAAAAAGCAGCAACTTCAGAAGTAAGTTTTCTTGGCTACTGGTAACAGTATGTCACGTAGATACAGTACAAGTTCATAGAACGTATGAGGTTTCTTGTCCCTGATACTTAAAAAAAGAAAGAAATTCACTCTCCAATAGTGAAAAATAAAGCTGAAGTTATGTGGCCATGGTATGGTATGGCATCTCAAACAGGCCATACACACAAGAAAAAGCTTCAGAAACTGCACAGAATTCAAATAATTTTGTAGAAAATAAGTTTTATTCGGTTCCTTTCGTACACTTTTTCAAAAAGAAATGCACGTTCATGCAGTTTGCCTTTCCCAGTGCATGTCTGGATTTGCTCACATAGAGCCATTAATATCAAGGCAAAAGGTGCCTTTGAAATCATTTCAGACACACTGTATTTTGACTATAAAGCATCCAAAGTTACTCATTTCCTAATTATAACTTGGAAAGAAACATTTCAAGCGTTTGTTCTCCAATTCACACAAGTAATTGTCCCACATAGGGAAGAGGAGACAGATCTGCAACAAAGAACTGTCAAGCCAACGGCTAATAATCATTTCAGGTAGAGCTAAAGATAGGTTCTCTATTTCAAACTAAGTTGGGATATACAAGAAAAACCCAGCGAGGCTCTTTTCAAAAGCTCTAAAACAGAAATGATAAAACATTGCTTCGAAGCTACAAATCAGCCATT